TTTTTAAAAACGTAATGGCTTGCAGTTGCTGAAGGTAGCTTTGCTGACGTTGCAGGGTTTTGTTTTCCAGAGGTGTGCCTGTCCGAGCAGGACTGTTCATTTCAACACTTCTTTGTCTCTCCTCGGTCTGCACTTTAAACAGTGTAAAATGTTCACGAGCGCGTTTTAACGCGAGGGGCAGCCCGGCTGCAGCCATCCTTGAAGCTGTGCCTCCAAACTGGCCGGAGGAGGGGGTTCGCCGGCGTGTCCCCAAGTCCGAGAAGCACCAGCCCTTTGCGCTGACTCAGCATCCAGGGACGCTGGAAACCCTGGAGTTCCCCGCGGAGCAGAAATCCCGTTTTTTGAGCCAGCGCTGAGGAGTCAGGCAGGGGCGTTTTGAGTGACCTACGTCGATTCGGGTTTACAGGGCTCAAGCAAGGGCCCTTTGCAGCGCCTTTGCGATGGAACCGAGCCCTGAGCATACCTAAAGCAAGCTGGTGGGCACCGAAAAGCGCGTCGCTGGCGCGTCTTTGAAACCTTCTGGGTGCCCCTCGCAGCGGAGGCTGAAAGGAAAAGCTGCTCAGCGACTGGGTTGGCCGTACCTGTTTTTCACGAGCCAGTAGTCCATCCCGCCCGAAGAGCCGTAGCCGATGACGAGCACGGCGTGATTCACCGCCTGAGAGCAGCTCGGGTCGTGGTAGATACCTGGAAGGCATTTGGAAACAGCCGTGGGACACCTTGCCCCACGTCACTGCCCGAATGGGAATGAAATTCGCTCTTTGGGAGGGGCCACCAAGGCCTGTCGCCAAGAACGAGGGCAACACAAGCGAAACGCAAGCCAAAGCTGAAATAATTTATATTCAAGGACGTTGGGTCGCGGGAAGGAAAGCCCATCCCTTTCTTGCGACCCCCTGAAGGACTCACCAGATTTGTACAAGAAGAAGGTGGGCTGACTGGCATCGATGCTGACAGAGATGGGTCCCACGTTGGCGACAGCATCCTTCAGCACGGCTTCATCGCCGTGCGGCAGCATGACGTACCGGGAACACGAGGCTGCCCGCGCTGTCAGGTTGTAGCGGCACGCGCTGTCCTGGCAAACGAAGGTAAGGGGGAAAATGCTTCAGATCCTGCGCAGGGTCCTGCTCCGCGTGACGCGAGTCAGAACCGATGCTCGCGGCGTTAAAGACAGACGACTCCATGGATTTCCAAAGTGGATTTCCTCTGGAAGCAACAGAACTGTTAATTCCCCCATTTTAAGCTGAACCAACCTAAGCGTTGCCCAGCTCTGGTGCCTACCTGAGCCGTGTAGGGGTAGGACGCGTCCGAGTCAATCCCTTGGTTGTCGATGATGTACTGGAAGGCTTTGGTTCTCCATCCACCACCACAGCCTTTGTTCCCGTAGCTCCTGGTGCAGTCAACGAGGTTCTGGGCGCTCAGAGACACCAGCTTCCCCGTCTTCAGCTTCACCTGGGCTTCGAGGGCTCCCACGGCGCTGAACGCCCAGCACGACCCACAGGCGCCCTGCAAAAGCCCCCGAGATGCTCAGACCGAGCACGGGACCGAGACGTGGGGAGGCCCAAAGAGAGCTTCGCACCTGGTTCTTCACATCCGTGACGCATCCCTTCTCCCTCCAGTCCACCGTGTCCGGGACCTTGCTGCCAGGCTGCGGTCGGTACGTGGAGGTCCGGTTTGGCCGAGGAGCAACGTTCAGCCCAGTTAACAAAGCCGCCACTTCCTCGCTGGTCTGGTGGGGAGGAGCACAGAGGCATTTGTGACATGCTGACGTTTACTTTGCACAGCAGGAGAGCGGGTCCATCCACGCATCCCACCCCACCGAAAGGACCAGGTTTGTCCTTGAAGCCTCCAGGGACTGATGCATGCAGTTGCAGCAGCATCACCAACGCGGCGCGTTTCATCCCCCTTGATCAAACGCGTGGCTCCGCGCTTGAGCCCCTTCTCAGCAGCACGGCCGGCACCTACCATGTCTCCCAGGTGGTTCATGCCCAGCTCGTAGGAGTGCAGCCCCAGCGGAGCAGTCAACGAGGTTCTGGGCGCTCAGAGACACCAGCTTCCCCGTCTTCAGCTTCACCTGGGCTTCGAGGGCTCCCACGGCGCTGAACGCCCAGCACGACCCACAGGCGCCCTGCAAAAGCCCCCGAGATGCTCAGACCGAGCACGGGACCGAGACGTGGGGAGGCCCAAAGAGAGCTTCGCACCTGGTTCTTCACATCCGTGACGCATCCCTTCTCCCTCCAGTCCACCGTGTCCGGGACCTTGCTGCCAGGCTGCGGTCGGTACGTGGAGGTCCGGTTTGGCCGAGGAGCAACGTTCAGCCCAGTTAACAAAGCCGCCACTTCCTCGCTGGTCTGGTGGGAAAAGAAAGCACTGGCTCATGATCTCCTTGTCTCTGGTGAGCCCTGCTCTGGGTGTGTTGGAGGTGTAGGAGGATTTCCCTTGAACAGTCTGAGCTGCAAGAGCTAGCAGATTTGTGGAGTCCTTGGCTTTTTATTTTTTACATTTAATTTCTAGCTGTTCATTGGAAAGGGCAAGAAAAAGAAAACACAAAGCTTAACCCCAGCACGAAGAATCCCTAGAAGCTGGTGTGCTTCATTAAACAACACTACAACCTTGGGACATCGAGGAGGGATGATTTGCAAATATATGTAATGACCAGGACCAGGTCTGCGCACCCCAAATGCTGCTTAAGAAGGAGTTATTTCCTCACACCAGATTGCCTCATGCCAGTAGGCTGAGCACAGGAATGTCTGAGCAGTTTCTCCAGGGCTGCTGGAGTCCACAAGAAGAGGATGGGCTGAGAAGGGTTGTTGGGAGTTTTTCCACCCCGGACGCACTTATATTCCTCGTTCAATCAACCTTGCAGGTAATTGAAGACAAAGACAAGCCCCTTCTCAGCAGCACGGCCGGCACCTACCATGTCTCCCAGGTGGTTCATGCCCAGCTCGTAGGAGTGCAGCCCCAGCGAGTGCTCCAGGTTATGCAGCGTCACCAGCCTCAGGTTCCTCTCCCACGTCGCGCGCCGGTCCCCTTCCTCTTTCTGAAACCAAACGCAGCCTCGCGGTGTAGCAACAGCCCCTGCAGCCATTTCACCCCACTTTATCCCAGGAAAGGCTGTCGGGAGCCCCTGCCAAACCACCCCTGGGAAGCAGCAGTGCTTCGGAGCGCTGTCAGCTCTTCTCCCCGCTGGATGCCGGAGCAGCACCCACCGCATCAGCACCCAAGCCACCTCCGCCCCCCAAGACGCCCCTACCTCATGGCGGTACTCCTTGCCGTGGGTTTTCTTCCAGAGCTGCCAGTGCCAGTCCAGCGCGGGGTCGGGGTGTCCCAGTGCCACCCCAAGCGTGGCCAGGAAGGTGATGGCAGCCAGCAGCTTCATCCCGCTCAGCTGGGACCGGAGGGGCAGTGTCAGACCCCAGCCTGGGGGTTTTACTTCCCCACCGATCCCCAAACCACCCCTGTCCCCTTTTTCCTTGGCTTGGAGCCGTCTCCGGCTGCGTGGCGATGCTCTGCGGCCCCGGCGCAACCGTGCCGCAGGGTCAGACCCTTCCCGCACGCACACCGGCAGCGTCGCCCCCTCCAAGAAAGCCTCCCCTGAGGAACTTTCCACATCCCCAAATCTTTCCTCTGCTGACTTTCCGCCTCCGTCGCTGCGGCAGCCCTCAAGGAAAGGGAGCAGTTGAGGGGGACGCACCATGGCGGCAGAGATGAGCTCTGTCCCCCAGGCGGGCACAACGAGACCGCTTCTGCACGTTCTCCAGCCAAAAACCACCGCGGGGAGATGCCTCACCTGCCTGGCCGCGGCGCAGCTTGCCGCGGAGCCCGGCTCGGCCTCGGGACGGGCACGAGCGGCCTGGGAGTGCGAGGAGGTCCCTCCGCTTGCTGCCGCCGGGAGCCAGCGAACGAGGAAATGCTCCGATTTCGCTTTCTTTTTACAGCGTTTCGTTCTCAAACCACCCTGCCGGCGCATCCTGGCAGGCCCCGGTGGACCCCTCCTCCCCTCCATCACCTGCCAAGCCTTCGCCGCCCACGTCTTGGTGCAAGCGGGGAAAAGAAACTCATTTTTAAGCATCTAAGCTTGCTTTTTGTGTGTGTGTGTGAATTTTTAAGGCGAGCATCACCTTCCCTTCCTGTTAGGGCTCGCCCTGAGCTTTGCTGCAGTCGTTTTTCAATTTGTTTCATTAAACGGAGCGCTTGGGTTTGGGTGTTGGGGGAGACACGGGGGTTTTGGCTGCGAATGCCTGGCACAAACATCTACCCCCAAGCCACGGTGCTGCAGCCCGCACCGGTTTATTCATCGCTCTGCTTTCTTCCCCCTCCTTTCCCCCCCTTGCTTTTCTTCAACCTCTTTCAGGGTTTCTGCAAAATCAGCTGGGATTTTGCAAAAAGACCCCAGCGGCATCTTCTCTCCCCGCTTCGCCCCAGTCAGCCCTGTTTTACCGTCGCTCCTGCTCCCCTGGGAAAGGGAAGGACTTTTCCACCCCCGCAGCCCCATCCCGCCGCGGGGTCAGGACGGCACAGAGCAAACCAGCCCCAGCCTTTCTTCCCAACAGTGTTTATTTTAAAAATAAAGTCGTGTGGTTCCCCGCAGCTCCCGCCGGGACGCAGGGTGGGGGGAGACGGAGCCGTGCTCTCCGGGGGGGTTATTCCACCGCTCCCCACGCTCTCCCGGAGGCAGAGGCCGGTGCGGGACCTGTTTGCACAAGCATCTCCAGGGGGATCGGGCTCTCTGGAGCCAGCCGAGCCCGGCCCGAGCGGCCGCGGGAAGGCCGGACTGGGCGCACACGCTGCCGGCGCGGCAAGGGAGCCCCGGGAAAACAGAGCTGGGGGGAGCTCATGGCATCGCTCGTATGCAGCTGGGGGGTCTCTCCCCTTTCCCGGGGGAGATTTCTCGCGGAGAGGCAGAGATCCCCCCGGAGCGACGTCAGCGAAAAGGGCGAGTTTGAACGCAGGGAAGCAGGGAGGGCGGCTGGACGCGGCGCGGGAGGGGAGCGCGCCGGCAGCGCTCACATCTTGGGGAAGCTGGCCAGGTTGGCGATGCCGCAGGCGTTGTTCATGTTGCGTGCCAGGAGGACGTAGCCCTTGTTGCCCCACTCCTCGCCCCAGCTGCGGGGAGAAAAGGCAGAGCCTGAGCTGCCGGCAGAGCCGCCGGCAAAGCCCGACCTGGGGAGAAGCAGCCCCGCCGTCCGGCCGTACCTGTTCTTGATGATCCAGTGCTTGGTGCCCTTCTGCGTGCCGTAGCCCACTGCCAGCACCGCGTGGTTGATGTTTTCGGCGTTGCAGCTCTCGTCGTAGTACACGCCTGGGGGACGGGAGGGATGGTTACACTGCGGATAAGCCCGGCCATGCCTCAGTTTCCCTGAGCTGCCCTGCGGCCAGCGAGCGCCGGAGGGGCTCCCCCCAGCCCCTCACCCCGGCTGTAGAACTGGAAGGAGGGCAGGCTGGCGTCGATGCCCACGGAGACGGGCCCAATCCTGGCCACGGCCCTCTTCAAAGCCTTCTCGTTCCCTTCGGGGATTTCCCGGTAGCCACGGCACTTGGCCGCCTTCCCGGTGGGGTTGTACATGCAGCTCTCGTCCTGCGCGGGACCAGCAAGGTCAAGGTGAGACGGGGATGGGACGGCAGTCGGGGGGGAGCAGATGGAGACCTCGCCGCCCCTCCCGGCCCCGGACCTGGCCGATGTAAGGGTAGGCATCCTCCGAGTCAATGCCGCGGTTCTGCCGGACGTACTCGAAGGCGTTGGTCATGTAGCCGCCGCCGCAGGCCGC